GAGAATGACCACAGAAGAGTCCCACAAGCAGGACGGGGGGGAGCCCTTGACCGCCCGGTCCAGCAGCTGTTCCGCTTAAGACCTTCTCGGAGTTTATCCAGGAATCGCATTCTCGCCCCAGTGTCGGCTACATTTTTGGTCTGGCCGGCCACGCTCCCTGCTTGCAAACACACCAAGGTACGCACGGTCGTGCTCTCATCCCTGTCCAGGCTGCATCTTTTCTTTCTCACGGCTTCCCGGCCGTGCTTCTCCTACTCCTCGACCCGCCTCTTCATTTTTGCTGCTAATACGTTGCTTCGCTAGGGTGATGGCCCCTTGAGGCACGCTTGGGGGTCCGAATGGGGCCCTCCTGGGATATCTTGGGGACCTTTTGAGCTGTGTTGAGGCCGTCTGGATGCCCTTGAGGGCTCTCTGGCGTGTTGGCGCTGTTCTTGAGCCGTCTTGGGAGAGGGGTAGATTTGGAGTCCCCGAGGGCCCCAGAGGTGCGTTGACGAGCCCATAGGGGAGGTGGATAAAGGGAACGGGGACAACCAACGATCTCATATACATTTTTCGCCCCTTGTAAGCGGGGGTCGGCGTATCTTGAATCATGAGAAGCTCCCCATGGCCCCTCTAGAGGCCCCTTAGAGCCCCAGAGCCTCCTGGGAGGATCCCCGGAGGTTCTCAGAGCCTTCCTGGGGCGCCTCCCCAGAGACCCTTCGAGGCTTCTCAGAGGCCTCATGCAGGCTCTTCTGCCAGAGGCCCCCAGAGGCTCCTGACAGCCAGGCCCGCCACAGCCCCGCAGAGGCCTCCATCAGAGACCGCTCGCAGGCCTCCGACAGAGTTCCTGGGGCCTGGGCCTCTCCCAGATGAGGTCGGAGGATCGCGCCGCATCTTCGATGCGTCGGCGACGCGGCTCGATGTGGAGCCCGATTCGCTCCACGCCAGCTGCGCCGATGCACCGCCAGCGTCGCCGATGCATCGGGGACGCGGCGCGTCCTCCGACCCCAGCTTCAAGGGAGGAAACACCACCCAGACCCGATAATTGGCGCTTGCTAAACGGCCCTGGACGTTTACTAAACAGCCTTGCCCTGCTCGATTCCTTCTCTGGGTGCGTTTACTAAACGGCTTGGCGTGTCGGGGTTCTTATTATCGGGATGGATTTCCTGCTCTCTGCATCTATATAAACAAATAATCAGGGGACGATTTTTCGACTATTCTCATTTTTTTGTCAATTTTTAGTTTTTCCTCCAATGTCCGCCTGTAGGAGGACCTGCCCGACCTCAATCCAGGGGGCGAATCGGCCAGTGGGGCCAAGGCCACGCCGGCGGAGACAGGGATTATTTCAACGATGCTCGTGCTCAGACCCCATCTGGGAGGCCTTCTGCGTGCGGAGGCAGGTGCCGCCGGACTCTTTGCCGATTGGCTGCCCCGCTTGGCCCCGCGCTGGTGCGGAGTCCCTCCGCCTCGCCGCCGACGAAAAGAGTGCGGAGGCAGGCCCGCTCCCCTCCTGGCCGCGGAGCCCTAACCCACGGAACCTCTGTTCTTGAGACCCCCACCGGACAATTTCTCGCCCCAGACCGGCCGACACCCCCCTCCTGGCTACAGCACCCCCGCCCACGGAACATCTGCTCTTGGGACCCCCCGCCGGACAATCTCTCGCCCCAGACCGACCGCCGCCCCCCTCCTGGTCACGGACGAAAAAAGTACGAAGGCAGGCCCGCTCCCCAGGAGCCGGAACGCCCGCAGGGGGCGCGAGGACAGCTCTGTGCTTCAGGCGCCCCGCGGGTCGCCGCGGAGACGCCGTCCACTATCTGAGGCGCAGGGGGCCGCGCGGGCCCGACGGCGCCCCCCTGCCGCTTTTTGGACAGCGTCTTGGGCGTTGGGCGTCAGGTGGTCATGGTCTCTCGGCAACCCGTGTGGTTCGAGGGGGGAGAGCTTGTGCACAACCACCGCCTGGAGGCTCGTTCTTCGGAGGCCTCGAGAGGCGGTTGGCATGGATACATATATATATATATATATATATATATATATTTCTATACAGATATATGCTCAGGTCTACCACCATTTTTTGATCAACGGATGCGAGTGCGAACTCAGATGTGCAGTGCCAGTTCAACCGCGGCGCCTAAAAAATTCCCCCGCCCTCAAGAGCAATTCGTCGTCTTGGTGCCAGTAGACCCACTGTGCATCACGCGCGCGCATCCATCCTCTTCTGGGATGAGCCAGCGGCCGATCGTCTGCCTACGAACTTACGAATATGCTGCCAACACCGATCAATTATCTGGGTCCCACCTTCCGTGTACAGGGGGGCATCCAGAATGGATGCCCCTGCTAGCTCGTCGAAGCTCCCCCTTCAAACCGATAGCGAACACGCGTTAAACAAAAGCGCGAAGGCTGTCCCCTGCTATACATTCTAATTTTTAAGATGAGAACGCAATTCGATCGCGCGATAGGCGCGAGATCCCCGGGATTAACAACAACCGGTTAACAACTTGCAGTCACTTTCAATGGGCGTAGTCGATGAACGAAAATGTAGATGCACACGTTGCACACGCGCGTCGCTGCCACTGTTGTAAGCGCAAGCAGACAGCGACGAAACTGATCACGGGGGCATCCACAAATGGATGCCCCTGCTAGCTCGTTGAAGCTCCCCCTTTCAAGCCGCTAGCTAACAACACGCGTTAAGCAAAACCGCGAAGTTCGCGAAGAGCGGGTGACGGCCAGCCTCCCACAGCGAATGCCTCTGCTGCGTCGTCCAAACTCGCATTCAAAACCACAGGCAACACCACGCGTTAAGCGAAAGCGCGGGTTTCGCGAAGAGCGGGTGAGGGGGGCATCCAAACAATGGATGCCCCCAAACATGTCAGCGACCCGTATGAAGTTTGCGCCCATGACTCTTGAAACTGTCGCCCCATATTGATATGCGCACGGCCCTGCATGGAAGGAGGTGGCGAAGTCATTTCGGGTCGCTCAATGTTCGCAGTACCACAGTTTCTACTTATTAACATCTGGCGTCTTGGCTAACAGACAGACAACGCCAAAACAACATGCAGAGTGCGCTTGCCTATTCAGGGCGCGCGTACGCCATGTAAGGAATTCCTTGCGCAAGTAAGACCGCTTTCGCCCGTTGTGTTTCTAACGGCAGTAGCCCCGCGCCCAGAACGCACAACAAATGCGCATACTTCCCCCTATGAGCGACGAAAAAAAACAGCCTGGCGTGGGGTGCGTCCGCCGTGAATCAAATTCCGGAAGAAAGCGACATTGATGGCGATGTGTTTCACTCATCAAACACATTACACTTAATTTCCCATTTTGAAGCACGAATAAAAAAGAAAACCTCTAGGGGTGCGTCCGCCACGGCTCAAGTTCTTTGTGAACACTAATAATCGATATCAATGTTGATTTTCTGATACGTCTCTCATGGCAAGCATCCCACGCCAAGACAACACACTTTGAGCATACTTCCTTCTGTTTGACGGCGGTAAAACACAAGAAAGCCCTTAAGGGTGCTTCCGGGCCGCCGGAAAAGTGATTCTTCTGTAATGCCGCAACAAAAAGATTTTTTGTCAAGCCGCCACAGCAGGAGTCCTTTGTATGGCTTCTGCAAAAGCGATCCTTTCGTAAGGCCGCCGCAAGAGAAATCTTTTTGTAGGGCCGCCACAAAAGGAATCCCTTTGTAATGCCGCCGCAGAAGGAATCCTTTTGTAAGGCCGCCACAATAATATTCGTTTTGTAAGACCGCCACACTATGAATTCCTTTGTAAGGACGCTAGTATTTTTTTCTGGAGTCAGCTGCGGGAAACCAGGAAAACATCGGAAAAAACAAGGAAAACAAGGACAACACAGCGAACAACAAGGAACAACATAAAAACACATGAAAACAAAAAAGGTGTGAAAACACAGTTTTTTTTGGGGGGGGGCTGCGTTTTCATACATTATTTTCTTTGGCTTTCATTGTTTGTGGTTGTGTTTTCACAGTTTTTTGTTTTTTCCTTGTTTTTTGCTTCGTTTTCCTTGTTTTCCTTGTTTTTCATTGTTTTCCTGGTTTTCCGCTTTGGCCCCAGAAAAAAGATCAGCGCCATTTCTAGGGGATTCGTTTTATGGCGGCCTTACAAAATGATTGTTTTTTTTCTAGTGGCCTTACACAGGGATTCCTTTTTGTGGCTGCACTACAAAAGGGATTCCTTGTGTGGCTGCCCTACGAAGGGATTTCTTTGGTGGTGGCCTTGCAAAAGGTTCTCCTTTGTGGCGGCAGTACACAAGGATTCCTTTTGTGGCGGCTCCCTTTGTTATGCCGCCACAACAGGAATCCTTTTGCAAGGCTGCCACACACGGAATCCTTGTGTAAGGCCGCTGCAAGAATTCTTTTGTACGGGCGCTAAACTTCTTTCTGGGGCCAGCAGCGGGAAACAAGGAAAACACGGAAAAACAACGGAAACCATGAAAACACAACGACAAACAAGGAAACACATAAAACGACGAATGACAACCACAGACAAGACATGAAAACACAGTTTTTTTTTTGTGTGTGTGTGTGTGTGTGTTTTTTTTTTGATAGGTTTTCTTTGGCTTTCATTGTTTGTGTTTGTGTTTTCACAGTCTTTTTGTGCTTTTCCTTTTTTTCGATGTGTTTTTCTTGTGCTCTTTATTTTTCATTGCTTTCCTTGTTTTCCGCCGCTGGTTCCAGACAGAAGATTAGCGCCCTTACAAAGGGATTCCTTTCGTGGCGGCCTTATAAAAGGATTCTTTTTGTCGTGTGGCCTTACATTGGGATTTCTTTTGTGGCGGCCCTACAAAAGGATTCCTTTTTGTGGCGGCCCTACAGAGGGATTCCTTTTGTGGCGGCCATAAACAAGGATTCCTTTTGTGGCGCCGTTAGACAAGGATTCCTTTCGTGGCGCTCTTACAACATGATTCTCGTTGTATCGGCGTTACGAAGAAATTCGACAAAGGGGCGTGCCGAAAAACACCCTCAATATAAAACAGCAAAGGCACGTTGGTGATCTTGGTCGAATACCTCAGTCTATATACACATACATAATGGAAAAATTATCCCAGAGCGACCCCACCTAGGAGTTGGAGCCCCGCGGAGAGCAACATTAGTAGTAACGGTCAATGCTATGATATGATATGTTGCGCTATGCTATGTTGCGCTATGCTATGCTATGCTGCGCTATGCTATGCTATGCTATGGTATGCTGCGCTATGCTATGCTATGCTATGCTTCGCTATGCTATGCTGTGATATGCTATGCTATGCAATGCTATGCTATTCTGCGCTGTGCTATGCTAATCTATGCTATGATATGCTATGCTATGCTATGCGATGCTGCGCTATGCTATGATATGATATGATATGCTATGATATGCTATGATATCCTGTGATATGCTATGCTATGCTTCGCTATGCTATACTATGCTATGTTATGATATGCTATGCTATGCTGTGCTATGCTGTGCTGTGATGTGCTATGCTAATGCTGCGCTAAGCTGCGCTAAGCTTAGCTAAGATAAGCTAAGCTAAGCTAAGCTAGGCTAGGCTAGGCTAAGCTAAGCTAAGCTAAGCTAAGCTAGGCTAGGCTAAGCTAAGCTAAGCTAAGCTAGGCTAGGCTAGGCTCAGCTAAGCTAAGCTAAGCTAAGATGAGATAAGCAACGCTAAGCTAAGGGGACGTAGCTGGGGGAACCGCGGGGCGGATATTGGGGGAACTGCCCGGGGCGCTTTCCACTGCCCGGCCCCTTTAAGCCCAGAGAGTAAGAACCCTTCTAGGCAGAGCCTAGGTAGGGCATGTACGTGTGTGTATCATACATATGTGTGTGTATGTATGTATGTATGTATGTATGTATGTATGTATGTATGTATGTATGTATGTATGTATGTATGTATGTATGTATGTGTATATATATATATATATATATTCGGTCCCCTGGGGGACAGCATGTGTCCATGTCCACCGCCCGCTGGGTCCCCAGGACGTCGGTTGCTGGGCGGTGGACATGGCCAAATGTCCGCCTCGCATGTCCTGGTCTTCTCTTGGGTTTCGATGGCTTTGCCATGGGACGCGTGGCGCTCCCGCGCCAACGAGCCAGCCAGTGGACGTCCTGGGGTCTCAGGGTCGGGCTGCCTGTGGAAGGTCTCCTGTGGACTGGCCTCCACTATGCCCCTGTTGGGCGTCCAGGCTCCCCAGGGCCGGCCGGCCGGCCGAGGGCGCGTGGACGACCGCCCGCCCCCCCCCCCCTCGGGGGGGGCAACGATAGGGGGGGATAGGCGTCGGCTCCTCCTCCTCCTCCTCCTCCTCCTCCTCCTCCTCCTCCTCCTCCTCCTCCTCCTCCTCCTCCTCCTCCTCCTCCTCCTCCTCCCCCCAATCGCCCATTGATCGCCGATAGGGACCCGATAGCCCCACCCGGCCCAGGAAGGTGCGGATCCACTATCGGGGGCTCATCGCCGATCCATCGACGATTCATCGCCGATTCCAGGTCGATGCATCCCCCCCCCTGTGCCTATCCCCCCCCCTATCGTTGCCCCGCCCCTCCTCGGCGAGTGTCGCGGCGCTCTCGGGTGGCCCTCGCCAGGAGCTGGCGCGGCTTTTTTTCAGGGCTGGGCCGGGGTCTGGCGCCCATCGGTGTCACGTCAACATGCTGATATTATGTGTTCGTCGCCCGCCAGGGGCGACACGCGCACCGAGAAATCTTCTGGTACATGCGTCGTGGCGGGCGCTTTCTGGCCATACCGCTCGGGAAACGATGTAGTACAAGATGGGCATACTATCTGTCCGGGTCGGACGCGCGCCTTCAAGGAGGACATAGAGTAGTAGTATGTCTCTGTCAGTCCCAGTCCAGGCCTCCTGGAGGGGGCGCTTCGGCAGCAAATCATGGGAACCTGGTGTGCCCTCCTAATTCCGTCTTTAGCGTCGGCTAGCGTCGATCAGCGTTTGGGAGTCGACGGGATAGCGCCGAGTTAGCGTCGATCAGCGTCGACGGGCGTCGATCTAGCGTCGATTAGCGCCGATTTTGCGTCGATTGGCGTCGATTCGCAAGGGCCAACAAGATGGTATGGGATGCATCCATGAGTTGCCACCGAATGGTGAGAGTACACGCCGGTCGTTGAAAGCAGGTGCCTGTGGATTCCCAGATCCCGCTCTGCTTCCATCGCCTTCCAACTTCCAGAGCTGTTATCCTCTGGGCGGGCCCGAGCCCAATCTGCTTCGTCCGCCTTCCTGCTTCATGCTTCCACGTGCTTCTTCCGGCTGGCGGGTGGATGGAGTCGGAGGACCACGCCGCATCGCCGATGCGTCGGCGATGCGGCTCGACGTGGAGCCCGATCTTCTTTCCGCCGACGTCGCCGATGCAGCGGCGATGCATCCGCGATGGGGCGCGAGCCTCCGACCGCATCTGCGCCGCCTCCATCTGGGAGGCATCTGTGGAGTGGATCGATGTATACACCACGTCACTTGTCAGGAGGGAAAGAAACACACAGACACAATTGATCGTCGATTCCCAGAAAATATTGGAAAATATGGGAAGCGGGGGGGAAGACAGAAACCCCACAAATGTAGGAAAGTATGGGGAATCTTTTTATTTGTGTGTATTTGTTTGTGTGTCCCAGGGCCCCTTCATTCATGGAGTGGATCGATGTATACACCACGTCGCTTGGTCGGCCACGGATGCCAGTGAGTTCGGCGAAGGATCTCCGTGCCTTGACGCTCCAGCGGGCGTCTATGCCCAGCTTCTTGGCCAACCCGACGACTTGGTGTAGACACTTCGAGCCCCTCCCAGGGCTTCCCAGTCGGACCGCTTCCGTCGTCGCTGGTTCTTTGAGGGAGGCAGTGAGACCGCCCCGGCGCCCGTCGCCGGGTGAGGCCGCCCCCCGGTGCCCACGGATGCACAGGCTGTCTCCCGGGCAGGAATTGGCTTGTAGATGCTGGCCTTGCCATCCGCGCACTCTTCCTCTCTCTGTTCCCCTTGCTTTCTCTACTCCCTCCTCCTCCACCTCCTCCTCCTCGTTCTCCTCCTCCTCCTCCTCTTCCTGCTCCTCCTGCTGCTCCTCCTCCTCGTTCTCCCACTACTCGATCGGTAGATCGCCAATGCCTGTAGCATAGCAGGGAACCGGGTTGGCAGGGTTTGGCCATGGGCGTCTGGCTCAAGCCTGGCCAGGCACCGCGCCCGCTTTTTACAGTGTTCTGTGCACAGCCCGCGTCACCTCGCTCTACAAAGAACATCCGTTGTCACACATCGCTTTGCATGGTAGTTTTAGAAGGCCTAGGGTTCGCTGAGGAATGGTTTTCCTTCGAAACGACGAAAACCATTCCAAGACCCTGCCGAAATCCACCGGAATTCCCCCCAGAACCCTCCCTGGAGGGTTTTCGGAAGTTTCGGGAGGGTTTCGGTTGTTTTGGAAGGAAGCCAGTCCCTAGCGAACCCTGGATTTTCTTGTTGTAGTTGGCAGCGGAGCTCCTTGCTCCACCACCACAGCCGCCATGGCCCGCGCGGCGATGCCTCGCGCCTCTGGCGTCCGCTCCTCAACGTCTACCGAGACGTCCCGCTCTGCGTTCCGCTTCACCCCCGTGTTGATGATCTATTTCGCCCCGACAGGCGCCATGCCTCGAGGGGCCAGCGGGGCCAGTCAGTCAGGCCCAGCCGCCACCAGCGGCGCAGGAAACCCAGCACACCTACGAGTTCAAGAACATGTGCCCGAAGGACAGCGCCCCCCGCGCCTTCCCCCCCAGGCACTTTCGAACTATGTTCGAGATGCTCGGGGGCCCCCGTCGTGACAACACTCGCTGGTGAGTGCCGCCGTCAGCGTCAGACCGTCGAACGATCCGAGTTCCACGCTTACGGTGTCGACGCAATTCCTCGAACTACGCGTAACAGTGTTGCGGACCCCCAGGGGGAAAAGGACAAGGACGCATCGCCCTCTTTGCATCTTCGTGTGGGTGGAGCCGACTATGTCAAGCAGTTGTTCGGTCCGACGCTCACATCGTCGGTGTCGGCAGAGCGCCCCGAGTCAGCCGCAACTATGTTGTATAAGCCTAAGGGGGGTGGGGGGCGCATGCAGGCAAGAGCGGAAATTCAACGGATGGTCGGGCAATTGTGTTGCCATCCTTCCGGCGGACCGTTACGCAAGCTTGAGGCATGACCCTCAACTTTACCTTCGCGCTCCTTGCCCCTCGTCTGACCTGGAACCCGTTGCGTACTCCTTGTGACTGTCGTACAGTCGGCAGTGCGCAGTACAGTGACGTTGCGACGTGCGACGAGTTCTCTTGCCACTCTGGCGGGGTGCTCAGAGTGCAGCCCGCGCTCCAATCGCACGACAGAGGGGAAGATCGGCGCTCCGAAACCCGAAGGAGACTGTGCCCATCCCTGCCTAGGGGGGGAAGAGCGCCCAGCGGGGCCAAGGTTTCCCCTATCCCCGCCCCCTCCTCCTCCTCTTCCTTTTCCTCCTCCTCCTCCCCCTCCTGCCCGCGCTTTGGCGTTGGCCCTGCGTCTGTCTTCCTGGCCTCCTAGGGGTGCGGCCCTGCGTTTGTCACCGCCAAGGTCAGGTTATTATATTTCTGACCTAGCGATTCGGCTGGAGGTCCGAGGTAAAAATTCCTCCCTCCTCCTCCTCACCCTCCTCTTCCTCCTCTTCCTCCTCCTCCTTCTCCTCTTTCTCCTCTTCCTCCTCCTCCTCCTCCTCGTCCTCCTCCTCCTCCTCCTCCTCCTCCTCCTCCTCTTGGGCGCTGAGTGCCGACGGCATGATAATCCTCGAAGGATGTTGCCGCCCACTATTTCTCGCCGTGCCCCTCCAGCTCCTGCTCCTGCTCCTGCTCCTGCTCCTCCTCCTCCTCCCGCTCATTCGTCCTCCACTTCCTCCTCCTCTTCCTCCTCCTCCTCCTCCTCCTTCCCCCCCATGGGCCTGAAGCCGTCGCGCGTCCTGGCTGTGGTGGCACAGAGTTGCCCGAGAACGCCAGTGAGTAATGCGGCGGCGTGTATAAGGCGGGCGGGGTCGTGCGGAGGGACGATCGAGGATGGATTTCGAGGATCTAGGGTTATGATGTTCCAACCTACTTTAGCTTTGATCACCCAGAAGAATATCGAACACCAGAAAAGTGCCAGAAAACTCTACGGTTTTCACGTACCGGGCCCTGGGAGACACTCGTCCGACATTGTTTCGACACGCTTTCGACACTTTTCCGGGTGCTCGAAAATCATTTCTGGGATGTAGTCCTTAAATACGATGGGAGACATAAATCTAGGATCTGGACCGTGGATGGGGGATCGAGAACCAATGATCGAGGACCAGCGACCGATAGTGGAGAGCGAAGGTCGAGATCTTGAGCCGAGAACCGAGATCCAGGATCGAAATCGTGGATCGGGGAGGGGGGCCGAGATCGAGGATCGAGGAACGGGTTCGAAGATCTGGGATCGACGAGGTACCCTCAAACCAGGGCGTCCGAACAAAAAAAAACAGGAGGGTGCGTTTTTAACGTTTTCGGCTCTTGGAGGCCGTTTCCCGGCCCTGGGACCGAGAGAGCACGACTCAGGCTGGAAAACAATCGCCCTGGGAATGGGGTCCCTCTTGGCCCGCGTCGCGACAAACCTGCGGCGCTGGGGGAAAAGGGAAAAACGATATCGAGGGTCGAGAAGCTCTTCGCATGCCATGATTCGTCTTGGGCTTCTGGCGGGGGGAGGGAGGGCGGGAGGGAGGGAGGGGGGAGGGCAAGCTAGGTGCGCTCGCGTCATATCTGACATCCTACCCCTCCCTCCCATCCCTTACCATGGCGCAGATCCCCTCTCTACTCGCACAGTCGGATGTCGAGCAGGGCAATGATCCCGAAAGGGTACGCGATGCATTGTAGAGCACGGCATGGCATGGCGTAGAAGAGCACCGCAAAGCGTAGTATCAACCTAGCATTGCATTGCACGCCGTGGCATGGCACGGGAAATGACGCCAGCGCTGCAGCGGGAGCACGAGTCGAAACGAGCGGAAGCGCGGAAATGAGGCCAGCGCTGCAGCGGGAGCACGATTCGGAACGAGCGGAAGCACGGAAATGAGGCCAGCGTTGCAGCGGGAGCACGATTCGGAACGAGCAGGGCCCGAAAATGAGGCCGGCGCCTCAGCGAGAGCAGCATTTGGAACAAATGCAGGCGAAAACCCAACTCCGGGGAAACCTGTGTGTATAAAAACAGTACGCGGGGGGGGGTCGGACACTTTCAGGCCGTCATCAGGGGAAGAGGGAGAGTAGTATTCATATTGAGTAATTGTGGAGGAGGAGGAGGAGGAAGAGGAGGAGGACGGGGAGGAGGAGGAGGAAGAGGAGGAGGAGGAGGAGGAGGAGGAGGAGGGAGGATGAAGGAGGAGGTGGAGGAGGAGGAGGAGGGAGGATAATTATTCACTGCGTGGGGATCCCCATATGTGCATCTCCTTGCTGGCGCTCCCTTGGTGGTGGGACTCGGTGAGGACGAATCTAGATTTAAGTGTGACTGAGCTGCCTCTCTCTCTGCTCTCTCTGCTCTCTCTGTCTCTCTCTCTCTCTCTGCCCTCTCTCTGTCTCTGCCTCTCTTTCCCTGCCTCTCTCTCTCTCTGCCTCTCTCTCTGCCTCTGTCTCTCTGCCTCTCTCTCTCTCTGCCTCTCTCTCTGTGCCTCTCTCTCTCTGCCTCTATCTCTGCCTCTCTCTCTCTCTCTCTCTCTCTCTCTCTCTCTCTCTCTATTCTCTCTCTGCTCTCTCCTCTCTCTCTCACTCTCCCTCTCTCTCTCTCTCGCTCTCTCTCTTCTCTTCTCTTCTCTTCTCTTCTCTCTCTCTCTCTCTCTCTCTATCTCTCTCTCTCTCTCTCTCTCTCTCTCTCTCTCTCTCTCTCTCTTCGCTCTCTCGCTCTCTCTTGCTCTCTCTCGCTCTCTGTCGCTCTCTCTCGCTCTCTCTCTCTCTCTCTCTCGCTCTCTCTCGCTCTCTCTCGCTCTCTCTCGCTCTCTCTCTCTCTCGCTCTCTCTCTCGCTCTCTCTCGCTCTCTCTCTCTCTCTCTCTCTCGCTCTCTCTCTCTCGCTCTCTCCTCTCTCTCTCTCTCTCTCTCTCTCTCTCTCTCTCTCTCTCTCTCTCTCTCTCTCTCTCTCTCTCTCTCTCTCTCTCTCTCTCTCTCTCTCTCTCTCTCTCTCTCTGCTCTCTCTCTCTCTCTCTCGCTCTAGTCTCGGCTCGAGGGTGCTCTGCGCGCAGACCGCAGCCACGACGCGAAGCGCCCCGCCTCGGAGTCAGACTCCCAGGCCTCGCGAGACCGGAGGGGTCCCAGCAGGGCCCTACTGATTCGCGTCACCTCTCCGCACCAGAGTGCCCGCAGCAATGCCCCCCAAGAAGCCGGAGCGCCGTCACTCTTCAAAGCAGCCTCCGAGCTCCCGTCCCGCGCGCCCTGCTGCTGAAGGGTCCCTCCTTCAACGCAAGCAGGACTGCATCGCAGCATTCAGGCAAGCGGGGTCTGACCGCCCCACGGCCGCCTATAACGGGCTAGCCGAACTGAACGCGGACGAGCTCCAGGCAAAGTACGACATGCACAAGTCCAACACGAAGAAGCTTGGCAGCGCCCTTATCCGCATGTGCGCCGCCAACCAGATCAGCTACACGCTCGACCACTACCAGCGCAGCAAGCCTAAGCGCACTGGCGGTGACACATCGCACCCACCATCGGGTTCCGCACGTCTTCAGGCTGCGGACACCCAATTCATTGCCTTGGACCCTGCCTTTTGGAAGGTCCCTGTTCTTGCCGAACCCACCTCGCCTGACGACGGCAAGACGTACAAGCCCAGCATCAGCCTCCACGACTTCGAGAGTGGCGAACGGCTGCTGCAACACCACCTCGGGCAGGGCAAGCGAGCCACGGGCCAGCTCGCGATTGCTGTCATGGGCCCGAAAAACGACAACTACGTCGGTACCGAGCTCGCCGTCCCCGTCCTGAAGCGCCACCCCAAGGCGCCCAAAGTGGTCCACACGCACGTCCCCGTGATCGTGTACCAGCTGGGCACCAAGGAGGTCGCCTGCACGGAAAAGGTAGCCGTCGCCACCATCGACCCCGCCGACCACGTCTGCTGGATTCGGGCGACCATACACGAGACCGAGGCCATTGCCGCAGTCCCCTCCATGCACCAGGCCTTCGAGGACCAGTTCTCGGGAGGTGCCCCCGTGAACGGTGGTCCACGCGCCAAGGGCCCTTTTCGAGGCGACTCCGCTCCACGGGACAAGGCGCGCCAAAAGCACAAGGAGTCCAAGAAAGACGCTCGCCGCCAGGAGCTCGATGGCCAGCTCCAGGACACCTTCAAGGCCCTCTTCCACGGCAACTTTAAAGCCGTCACCATCCTCGAACCCTGCAAAAGCCTAGGCAGGTTTGGATCGGGCGTCGGAAAGAGGTCCCTGGCTGCCACCTTCGGCGTCAGTCTCCAAGCGGTCGACAAGGTCCTGGCGGGATCAGGGCAACTCGGTGCCACCTACGACCTCAGCAACGTAGGTGCAGACGAGCCCACCGCCGACAAGTATCAGACCGTGTGGTTCCCTGAGGACCAGCCCATCACGATGGCAGACGCGTTCCAGAAGTCGGTGGAGCTCAAGGCCCTGGGAGTCGTCAGGCACGGCAAGTCAGGCCTGCTGGGGATCCGTGTTCCGCGGGGGTCTGACGTCGCCAAGGCCGCCGCTGTCAGCATCCGCGGCTGCGAGGCCACCCTCGCCAAGACGCGCTACCGCATCGCTGGCATTGCGTCACGCCGCGCCACGCTGACCCAGCTCGCCAAGACTCTCACGGGCCCGTCCGTCAAATGGGACTGTGAGGTCTACCACGCCGCCTGGGACCCAGCCACTGCGGCCCAGTTTGCCCTAGTGCGCGCCCATCGGCCCCCACTCACCTATACGGTGCAGGTCGCGGGGTGCTCCATCCCGTGGAGCATCGCCGAGGCCCCGCTGGCTGAGGTGGCGCCGAAGCGGGACAACGTTACCATCGTCACGCCTACCACCATCACAGAGCCTGCGACGCCGCCAGCCGGTGGTGGCGGCTTCAGCCCCGCCACCGGCACACTCCTCACCAAAGCGGCCCAGAGCCCCTACCTCCACGACCTCATGACTGCCACGCCCAAAGGCAAGGGTGTCGCACCGCTCCTGACCCCCAAGGAGGAGCCTTTAGCCAAGCGCCACCGATCCTCCAGCGGGAAACGAGACGCCACGCCGCCCGCAAGGCCACCCCGCCCCCCAGGCCGCAGCTCCTCTGCGCCCCCTCACGGCACGGACGGAGCCGCTGAACCGACGGCCGCCCCAGGACCAGGTGGCCACGACCCCTGGCTTGGCACGGCCGCGGCGGAAGGAGGGGGCCACACCGAAGGCGCCGCTGCCACAGCCGCCGAAGTACCAGGTGACGTCGTTGACGTCGAGATCCTCTCATCAGGCGATGAATACAGCGAGGCCTCCCACGAACTCAACACCTTCGGCGAGCGCTTCGCATCGGCCTCTAAACCGCCCGATGCTGCCACGACCCGCATCCAGCACATGGAACAGCAGCACGAGCTACTAGCCACCACGGTGGATAACATGCAGATGCAGCTTGCGGGCGTTCTCTCCTCCCAGGCCACACTCACGGAGCACGTTTCAGGGCTGGAACGGGGGCTTGCCACCGTCGTCACCCAGCAACAAACGGCAACCGCCGACGCCGCTGCACTGCGCGGCGATATCCAGACCCTCCTCGGGCACCTCACGGGAGGCACCATCCACCTGCCACAAGCGGCCACTCTGGAAGTTAAGAAGGAGGAAGCCGCAGCGGCCGCCGAGCCCGCGGCAGCCTGCAGTGCGACCGACCAGCCAGGCCAGGCCACCCCAGGGACGGGGCCCCCAGGGGCCGACAAAGGCAAGGACAAGGGTCGGGCCACCCAGGACCCGTATTGAAGGTGCCTCAGAGAGCCCGCCTCAGCCCTCCGAGGAAGCGCCTTCAGAGGCACCGCTCCCCTCTTCGCGTCGTATCTCTTTCTTGTTACCTCATGTCTGTTTTGGCAGCAGCACGCGCAAGCTCTCTGGTGTAGGGA